CATCGCGCTGCTGTTGTCAAAGTTGCCGTGGCTGCCGTGTGGTTAAGTAGGAAAAGCTGGATTTTAGAATTAATTAAATACATAAATTAATATATAATTTCAAAAATTCATAACTTGAAAAATAAAAATTAAAAAAATAAAATAAAAATACTCTCAGACCCAGCAAACAAGATAAAAGATAATAAAAATATAAAAAAATTAATTAATTAAGCTATATTTAACTTTAAATTAATTAAAATGCCTCTGAAAGTATTTTAATTATAAAAAATTAAATATAAATGTGAAAATTATGAAATTTACAATGAATAATCCCTTTGCCATTGGAAATATTTCCCGTTTTTTCTAAGGACAGAGGACTTCCCTAACATCAAAGTTATATTTCCATAATAATTGTAATTATTTTGAAGAATAATTATAAAAAGTAAAGTATCAATCAGAAAAATACAAATTCAGATGCAAATTAACTAGGAAAATCAGGGCATTAACCCTAAACACTAAAACGACAATTTTCAGCTCTAAAAATTTAAAAAATGAAAATAAAAAATTAGGGGTAAATATGTAAAATTGCAAAATTTGTATTTAAAGTCCAAATTTTCTCCTAAACTTGATTAAACATGAAAATTAACCCATCAAATCTTAGGATTATATCCTAATGAAAACATTAAATTAAATTATCAATTAAAAATGTTAATTTCATAATTATCCCTTTAATTATGAAATTACTTTGATAACCTAACCTAAAACTGAAACTTAGGTTTAGCCCATCATAGACCTAAGCCAACCTGAATTTACCCTAAAATTAGCTTAAGTTTAAACCATCTTAGACCTAACTCAATCTAATTAACTTTAATCTTTGCTTAGGTCTAACCCCAACTTAACTCAAATTCTAAATTTAACTCAAGTCTAACCTAATTTAAGCATAACCCTAAACCCAGCTTTAACCTTAACTTTGGTCTAGTCCAACTTAAATGTAACTCAACCTAACCCAACTTTAAGCTTAACTCAACTCTAACCCAACTTAAACTCGACTTAATCAAATTCCACACCTAACTTAAATCTAAACCAATTTAGACTTAACTTAGTCTAAAACTTAACTCAATTCTAACTTAACTTAGACTTGACCCAACCAAATTTTAAACTTAACTCAAGACCAAATCAAACTTAAACCAATCTGGGTCAACCCAGCCGAACCTAGGCTAACCTGAATCAAACTTATATCCAATTTGGGTCAACCTAGTCTAACCTGCCCCAACCCAAATTAAACTAAAATCCAACATGGATCAACTCAGCCTAACCTGAGCTAACCCAAATCAAACTTAAACCAAGTTGGGTCAGCCCATACTAACTTGGGCTAACCCAAATCAAACTTAAACAAACCTGGAGCCTAACTTGGGCTAGCCCAAATCAACTTAAATCAAGCATGGGCTAGACCAAATCAACTTAAACCAAGTTGGGCTAACCTGAATCAAATTCAAATACAAAAACAAATCATAATATTACAACTTCAATACTCTCACAAACTAAAATTGATATTATCCTTAGCCATTTGTTATCTCAAACATAGATCTACATGAGTTTTTTTTTTCCTCTAACAAACAATCAAGGAGTGTATATTCTTGTTATAATTGATTATTTGACAAAAATGGATCAATTTCATAGCTGTGACAAAATCACTGCATAGTTATTGACAATATCAAATTGAGTAGCACATTTAAGGATAACAATTATCCGTGATGATCAAAATAGGCAATAGAGCTTGATTATTTAATTAAATAATTAAGGAATTTTGACAATAAAAAAAGATTTACATGAAATTTTGTCACAATCCTTCATCTAAAAATAAATAAGCTAAAGCTTCAAGCAAATTGATTTTCATTCTCTTTCATAAATGATTAAATGAAGAATTATCTTGTAATGTTCCATTAATTATTTTGTTAAAATTATTTAGATTTAAAAATATTACTTCTTATAAAATTTAAAATTACATTGTGGTATTTACTTTTTTTTTTAACTTGAGCATTTGGTATGCCAATTGATGAAAAAACCATTAATTGTTTTCTCTCATCCCTTTATTGGGCTACACCAAAAATGGGCCAAGCCCAGTCTGCACTTCTACATTTCTTAAAAAGACCTGGATCCATTTTGCTAGCATGTTAGCATATAATGGACTCATTATGCCGTTTTTGACATAGCTTTACTTTGGGGCATTTACATACATACCACTCAATTTTTATTTATTTGCATACATACCACCCAATTTCTATGTATTTTCAAATCTTCATTTGGTTAAATATTTTTCTACTTGTATCTTTCTCAAGTGCTGCCGAGATGAGAATGATTAGGTGGACGAGTGGTTTTACACTTAGAGATAAAATGTGAAATGAATGTATCTGTGATAGGGCTGGTGTAGCTCCTGTGACAGACAAAATTAGAAAAAGTCGTCTTAGATGGTTTGGTCGCATTAAACGTCGACCATCTGATGATCCGATTGGGAGAGTAGATATTTTAGATTCGACTTGTGTTAAGATGGGCAGAGGTAGACCTAGGAATACTTGGGCTTATTGTTCGATAGAGGTAGACCTAGGAATACTCGGGCTTATTGTATAAAAAATGAACTTAATTTACTAGAACTAAATGAATTTTTTAAGTATTCAGTAAATTTATTCATGATCATTTAAAATTAATAATTAATTTACTATAATTTTTATTTTAATAACAAGAAATATAAATTATACTTATATGGAAGAAATAAATATAAACAATTCTTATATGGAAGGAATAAATGTAAATTTGCATTTCTAACATTTAAATTTTTATATTTACATTTATAACACCCAAAATTGCAACATTACAACAAAAATATTGGTACCATTAATTTCTTAAAGGTTAAAAACATATTTTTCGTGCATAGATATATGACACCAAAGAGATACTTATATTTTAAATATCAATTAGATATGTAAATACATGAAAATAGTATGGCATGCATGTAAATTTCTTTTTTTTTAATTTAATTTTAAATAAGTTATTATCTATTAGTTATTGGGGTTCTAATAATGTTGCTTGATGATAATAATAGATTAAAATATTATTTTTATTATGATAAGCATCAAATTAATTTGTTGATTGTGATAGCGAGATCTCCACCTGGCAAATTATTTCTTTCTTTTTCTTCTATTATTATTTTTTTTTAAAATTGGCTATAAATTATATCGAAAAATTAACTAATTAATTAATATATATTTATAATTGCAGAACAGCACCCACATGTAAATTAAATGCATTTTCTGTATCATTTATATAATGTTGGGGGATTTTAATGCTCAGATTAAATGCTGTATTCAATCAAATAAAAGGCTGGGCCTATCCCTGCGCTGGACTTCCAGCTTCAATCACCTTCTGCCAGTTGCAATCATAATTACAAAATTACCCTATTAAAATACTCTTTTTCCTCCAAAGGGAAAAGAAAAAACCATCGTCGGGTCGTAGTGTCGTGATATAGCACAGTAGTGATTGGATATAATGTTGTGGTGTCACGCTCTCGAGTTGTTGGCTTCGTATTTCATAGACCAAGGCACTACGATGTTATAAAGGTGGGACGTGAGCATTGAAATTATGGTGTTGCGGCTCTGTGAGTTAGCAATACGGCTCAGTGAGTTAGCATTGCGGCGTCAAGTTTTCGGGCGTTGAGACACTATAACCACGACATTGTGATGCTCTACTCTGAGCACTATGAGACCGAACGTGTAGCACTAAATGTGTAGCATTGTGGTGTTGCTTGTCATTTCCTACTTTCCTTCAAATTCCTTTGTCTTATTAGTCTTGTGCCTTATGACATCAACAAATGCCAAAGAAGCATACAATTATACAATTTTTTTTCAAAAAAATGAAGATTTTCTTAGACATTTTGAATAACTAACACCACCCCAAGAGTAGCTTACTCAATTTATTTGCAGTCCTATGGAAGTTAAACATAATTGAAATCAAAATAAAAATATAATTTTAAGTCATATGGGTTTGTGTTGTTTAAATCAACATAATATTCAGTTGAGAAACATCATTTGCTTCACTATTCTATCTTGGCTGTTACCTAAAGTAGTCTTTCGCCTACTTGTATCCTCGTTTCGTTCCCCTGAAGGCTTGCTTCAAGCTCCTTATCGTGATGGTTTTGGGTTTTAAGAAATGTGTCTAGATATTCATTATTGTTGAGTCGTTGACTTTTGTTGCAACACAAACAGGTGTCCTACTGTTCTTTATCCTATGGGTCTTTTACAGGTATAATGACTAATAAAATAGTAACGTTACATATGTAAACAAACAAATATATATAAAATAAAGTTCAGTAGAAAGAAAGTGCAGTAAAGAAAAAAAAAGGAAAGTAGTAGTACTTGT